AATGATTTATAGGCAGTATTCAAGCCTAAATATGGGTAGGGGGGAAAAAAAGATCGAGGGATGGGGGGGGGGGGGGGGGGGTGGGAGTTGGGTTGAAGGGAGGAGGGGAGGAGGTATTGGGTTAACACTCTGCATGACAGTAGGGATAAAGAGGAAGAGGCAATTTGGAAGAGCGATGGAGCGAACTGGGAAGGATGGAAGAAATACAGTTTATAACCTATAATGTGAACGGGTTGAGTTGTCCAGGGAAGAGATTTAAGTTGTTTAAGGAGTTACATCATAGGGCAACGTCAGTGGTATTTTTACAGGAGACGCACTTTGAGATAGAGGCAAATGTGAAATTGAAATCTAAATACTATCCAATATGGTATTACGCAGACTCTCCAATTAAAAGAGCAAAAGGGGTTGTAATAGGTTTGGCAAAGAATATGAGATTTGAGCTAGAGGACAGAAGAACCGATCCGGAGGGGAGATTTTTATTCTTAAAAGGTAAACTTCAGGGGATTGAGTGTACTTTAGCCAATATATACTGCCCTAATAAAAACCCGGAGATGTATATGAAGGGTCTGTTGAAAAAATTAATGGAATTTAAAAAAGGGCGTTTGATAGTTGCAGGAGACTTAAATTTCTGTATGGACCCACAAAAGGATAATACCTCCTCTGTGCAAAGAGAGGGGAGTAGGTCTCTGAGAGCTTTGAAAAAAGTGATGCATGAATATCAACTAGTGGACATCTGGAGAATAATGCATATGAAAGACAGAGACTATACCTTCTTCTCTAATGCACACGAGATACACTCGAGATTAGATTACATCTTAATAGACCATCAACTTATAGAACATCTGGTTAAAATTGATACAGAGACAAGAACGTTCTCGGATCATGCCCCGTTTGTAATGAAAATGGGATGGGGAAGAAGGTGGACTGGAGGATTAGGGTGGAGGTTAAAAGAGGCTCTTCTTCTGGATGAGGACTTAGCTCAGAAAATCGAGAAAGAGATTAAGGTTTATTTTAAGGAGAACGAAACAGAGGAAGTATCGATAGCTACAGTCTGGGAAAGTCACAAGGTATTTATAAGAGGAATCTTGATTTCGGCAGGAGCAAGGAAGAAAAAAGTAAGAAGAGAGAGGGTCAGTGGGCTTCTAAAAGAAATACTGGACCTGGAGCAGATCCATAAAAAAGAAAATAACAAAAGATACAAGACAGAAGTTAATGGATAAAAAAGATGAGCTAGAGAGGTTGATGGATGAGGAGAAGAGAAGAGTATACAACAGGGTTTTAAATGAGAGATATAGATGGGGAGATAGACCAGGAAAATATCTAATGAGAGCTTTGAATAAAAAGAAAAAAAGGAACTATATAGAAAAGATAAAAAGTCCTAATGGGGAGTTGGCCCACTCAACTAAAGAGATTATTAAAGTGTTTACGGAGTATTACAGAAAGCTATATAATATTAGTCCCCAAGGTCCTCTAAAAGAAGATCAAGAGGGAATCAATGAAAAAAAGATGATATATTTAAAAAACGCGGGATTACCAAAACTAAGTGAAGCACAGTTGAACTCCTTGGACGTGGAAATTTCCCAGGAAGAAATTAAAAAACAGCATTAAGAAGCACAGGGGGGGGGGAAAAGCCCAGGCCCGGATGGCTATACAGTTAAGTACTATAAGAAATTTAGTGAAGTGCTGTTACCCAAGCTGGAAAAGTATATGAATGCTCTGGGAGGTGGGATGGAAGTGAGGAGAGAATCTTTACAGGCCCATGTAGTACTTATTCATAAGGAGGGAAAAGACCCATCTCAGTGTTCCAGCTATAGACCTATTTCATTATTGAACACAGATACCAAACTGTATGCAAAGGTTTTAGCAAACAGGTTGAAAGATCTAATGCCTGAATGGATCCATGGAGATCCGGTGGGTTTCGTACCTGGGAGAGAGGGTAGAGATAACGGCTTGAGAACCCTGATGCTTATTCAGAAAAGTAGAGGAGGGAAAGCCCCGGTGGTGCTCTTGTCAATTGATGCAGAGAAGGCATTTGATAGGGTCGACTGGGGCTTTATGATGGACAACTTAAAAGTGCTGGGGATAGGTGATAGAATGCGTGAGTGGATAAGTAAATTATATAGGAAGCCTACTGCAATCATCATGGTAAATGGGGAGAGATCAGAACCCATCGGAATGTCTAATGGAACAAGACAGGGTTGCCCACTGTCCCCTTTATTATATGTGTTGTCACTCGAACCTCTGTTGTCAATAATAAGGAACAGTGGAGCGGTAAAGGGAATTCAGATAGAAACTATAGAACATAAAGTAGCGGCTTTTTGCGGACGACTTATTCGGAATCCCCGAATAACTCTCCCAAATATAATGAAGATTCTGAAGGAGTACGGTGAACTATCAAATCTAAAAATTAATCCAACGAAAACAGAGATCTTGAATATTAATATATCAAAGAATGAAAAAGAAAAACTACAAAAAGAATTCCCCTTTATATGGAGAGAAAAAGAGATAAAATACCTAGGAATAAAACTCACTGCCTCATCTAAGCATTTGTATAGATTAAACTATATCTCTTTGATAAACGAGATCAGGGAAGATTTAAAAAGACTAGAAGGAGGAAACTCATCCTGGATAGGACGTATAAACCTAGTCAAAATGGTAATTATGCCAAAAATATTGTATAGATTTCAAATGGTACCAATTAAAATCCCAGAGGCCTTCTTTAAGATAATAAAAAAAATGTTAACAAGATACATATGGAAGAATAAAAAACCTAGAATAGCATATGAAACATTGAGTAGGACTAAAGAGAAAGGGGGATTGGGTCTACCAGATGTCAAGAGATACTATAAAGCAGTGGTTTTAGCAAGAATATATGACTGGACATTTAACCATAAGGGGAAAAGTTGGGTAACAATTGAAAATGATCTTAGTGGAATTAGATTGAGTCAGATGATATGGGTTCCAGCACAGTTTAGAGGAATTAAAGAAAGCACAAGTATTTACACTTTAAATGTTTTAAGGGTATGGGACAATTTACACAAAAACATGAAATGGGAATTTAATTCTATACTAATGCCTCTCACAAAACACTGAGTACTTTCCCCCGGGAAAGGATAAGATATCAGGGAGATGGTTTAGAAAGGAGGATACCCAACTGAGAGATGTTCTGGTGGAGGGGGAATTGAGATCACTTAAAGAATTAATAGAGAAGAAGGGAGATATCTTTATTAGAATAGATGAGTGGAAATATCATCAATTGAAATGTTAAATTGGAAACCTCCCGAAACCCCTGAGATTAAAACAGGAGTGGAATATGTTTGAAAGGCTGTTAGAAACACGAAGGGATGGGAAGCACGGTATTTCAAAAACCTATAGAATACTCACAGAATTAGACACAAACACAAAGTTAAGTTTTATAACAAAATGGGAAAGGGACATGGAAGTTGGGTTTGACGAGGACAAACAGAGAAAGATGTTTAGATTGATACACGAGAATGTTAGTATGAGAGAGGTTGAGATTAATTATAATTATAAGTGTGTGACACGATGGCACATTACACCGAGTGTTGAGCACAAGATGAATGGGGAAAATTCAAAAATGTGTTGGAGAGGATGTGGAGAGATAGGCACGGTGTTTCACATATGGTGGGAATGTCCGAAAATCCAGATTTTTTGGAAGGTAATAGTTAAATTGATTGAAGAAATAACTGAAATTGACATAGGGTTAGACCCAACGATGTGTCTCCTACATAATGTGGAGACATCTGTAAATAAATACAAAAACTCAGGCGTCTGGTACTTCTTAAATGTGGCGAAAGGGTTGATACCCAAGTTTTGGCAGAAAACTGAGGTACCGAAGGAGGAAGACTGGATTAATAGAGTAAACCAGATAGGTAGAATGGAAAGATCATACCATATGCAGGAAGATAGCATGGGAGTTTATAATATGAGATGGGAAAAGTGGGAAAAAGCAGGATTGAAAGAGAAATATAGGAAACTATGAACTAGGATGTTAGCAAAAAATTAATAAGCCTTGAGAGATTAGAATGGGTTAGAGTATGCAGAGGGGGAGGAGGGGGGAGGAGGGGTGGGAAGGGTCGGGGTGGAATGGGAAAGAAAAGAGTTTTTAGAAGGGGAAATGTAGAAATGTTATAAATGTCTATTTATATGTGAATTGTTTCCCTTTTTGGGTATTTGTATTAATATGAAAAATTTAATAAATATTTAAATTAAAAAAAAAAAAATGGCTTGTCAGTCGCTGGTCACAGCTATTTTAGGTTTTAAAGTCTGGGGAACAGGTCTGGTAAAAGTTCATAGTTGTTGAAATGACCATGACCTTATAGCAGCAGGGAGAATGCCATGTGCACAAGACATACTAACCTGGCCAGCTGGAGGTGTTCTTATTTCGCCGCAAGTCTTACATCCATGGCAGTGGAAGGGTTAAGGGGAATTAGGGTTTTTAAAAAAAGAATCAAGTCTGCCTTTTATCACAGTCTGGGGAAAGTTATTTGCCCTCTAACCCCTTGTAATTACATTATAAAAGAATTTTGTAGATAGTACCACCACGAGAACCTGTCTCAAGTTGGGTTCCCTCTCCCCCGATGTTGTGCAAGCTGATATGTGAAATTAAGCATATTCACAGGGGTGGAGAAGTATCTTGACCCCAATCCTATCAGAACAGAAACTGCATACGCTGCAGGAAAATCCATTCTTTCGAGAAACATTTTACATTCCGCTTCTTTTAATTTTCTTGTCACTGCAGTCAAAAATTAATATCAATTTGATCTCACTAACCATTAAAAAACAAAAGAACATTCTTCAAACAAAAATTTATAACAAAATTAACATTGCTAATGTACCAGAGTGCAATATAAAGAAATAAACCCTAAGGGGAAACAAAATATGAATATTATTCTACACAGAAAAAGTGATTGCTATATGATTTTTTAAGTAACTTCTAAGGTAAATACATTTTAATATTTCTGGGTTTTTTTTCTCACCGGAGTCAAAAGTTCTGGGGTGGATATAGGTGAACAGTCACTGTTAAGTTTGATTCCACTACCAAGGTCAAAATCGCAGATCTTCACCGGTGATACCTAGCAAACAGCAAAAAAATTTATATATACAAAAGGTGTGCAACAGTTTGTCTGATTTGAAGTTTTGCATGCACTGAATTCAGATGTTGACTCTCAGTCCTAGCAGTCTTACAATGCATTGCTCTGCTGAATGTAGTTAGGTATAAGCCTAGGTTCACATATATGCAGGTGTGGGACTGCATGTAAATCACACATATTTTCGCACACAAAACATGGTACGGAAAACACGTGGGGGTGCCATTAACTCTTGGGTTGCACCGCAGCGTGCTCGCTCCCGAGCCTCTGCTCTATGCATTCATAAGACACATCCAGCCGAGGATCAGCCCCACCCCCTGCTTTCTCCTCATTGGCTGTGATTGAATGCAGCTGAAGCGTAAACAAAACAGCTGCCAGGTATATGTAATTCGTATCACAAAAGAAAAATATTGATACTTGTACTCGCTGTAAAAAAATGGTATTGGTGCATCCTCAGCATTGACCGATTCTTTGTACTTCTTCAAAAGAGCTTGAAAAGCACATCTTGAAACTGCAGTCTACTTTGGAATCTTTACCTGGGAGAGATTTTGCTGTAGTATAACTACCTTGTGTCTTGCTGCTGTGGTCAGTCTTGCCATGGCGTATGTCCTGCAAAACTGTCTTCCACTACCACACCTTAGTAGCAGAATTTGGCTGTTTCTCACCCAGTTTTAAAGCCCCCTACACAGCTGTTTCTGTTTCAGTTAATGACTGACCTACATATTGCATGAAATTGATGATCAGTAGTACATGCTTGGTATAACTGGTTAATCATACACCTGACTCCAATCCTACAAAATCCCTGACTTTGTGCAAGTGTACAAAGTGTAGTGTAAGGCTGGCCATACATTATACAATTATCTTCCAATTTCCTTTAGATTTACCTTCAACTGTGTAGTGCAAGGGCCTGCCTAATTGGATACAACTGAAAGTGTTGTTTAGGTTTGTCCTCCTATTATATGACATAAAAATCTCCAGATAATTGTATAATGTATGGCCAGCCTAAGGCTGACCATATATTATACAATTTTCTTGAGAATTTTGCTTTAGATTTGCCAAAAACCATATAATATGAGGTCAAACTTAAACAGCACTTTCAATTGTATCCAATTAGGCAGGTTCTTGCACTGCATAGTTGAAGGTAAATCTAAAGGAAATTGCGCAGAAATTGGACAGAAAATTATATAATGTATGGCCAGCCTAAGAATTGATGCTGCTTTGAAACCAAAAGGGAAGTCACACCAAATATTGATTTATATTTTTTTTTGTTTTCCCACTTAGCATTTTGTAAATTTATAAAAAATAAACAATTAAAATATATATTTTTGAAAGCATTCTTACTTTACAGCATTTCTTCACACATTCCTAAAATGTTTACACATACACACTCATACACATTGCAACAATTTTGCTCTTCTTGTGTGGTTAGTAGCAGTTTTCATAAAACATGGCATTACTACACATAACAGCATTGTAACTACAACTATAATTGCCATTGCCAAAATATTTACCTGATGTGGACATTCACACAGGATATTTTCAGGTTTCAGATCCCGATGTGCAATACCTGGAGAAATATACATTGCTTTTAGTAGTTATTAACGTAAGGTGAAACTCGAAAAATTAGAATATCGTGCAAAAGTTCATTTATTTCAGTAGTGCAACTTAAAAGGTGAAACTAATATATGATATAGACTCATTACATGCAAAGCAAGATAGTTCAAGCCGTGATGTGTCATAATTGTGATGATTATGGCTTACAGCTCATGAAAAGCCCAAATCCACAATCTCAGAAAATTAGAATATTGTGAAAAGGTGCAATATTCTAGGCTCAAAGTGTCCCACTCTAATCAGCTAATTAAGCCATAACACCTGCAAAGGGTTCCTGAGCCTTTAAATGGTCTCTCAGTCTGGTTCAGTAGGAATCACAATCATGGGAAAAACTGCTGACCTGACAGTTGTGCAGAAAACCATCATTGACACCCTCTATAAGGAGGAAAAGCCTCAAAAGGTAATTGCAAAAGAAGTTGGATGTTCCCAAAGTGCTGTATCAAAGCACATTAATATAAAGTTATGTGGAAGGGAAAAGTGTGGAAGAAAAAAGGTGCACAAGCAGCAGGGATGACCGCAGCCTGAAGAAGATTGTCAGGAAAAGGCCATTCAAAAGTGTTGGGGACTTCCACAAGGAGTGGACTGAGGCTGGAGTCAGTGCATCAACAGCCACCACACACAGACGGATCCTGGACATGGGCTTCAAATGTCGTATTCCTCTTGTCAAGCTGCTACTGAACAAACATCAGAAGCGTCTTACCTCGGCTAAAGAAAAACAGACCTGGTCTGTTGCTCAGTGGTCCAAAGTCCTCTTTTCTGATGAGAGCAACTTTTGCATCTCATTTGGAAACCAAGGACCCAGAGTATGGAGGAAGAATGTAGAGGCACACACTGCAAGATGGTTTAGATGAATCAGAGTAACTTGCAAGCCACAGGTGTGATAATTACTAGAGGATCGCAAACATGAAACACATAACTACAACTGTGTTGGAAATATCTACAAATATATGTTGCGCTCTTAAATACTTCTCAATACTTCAATACTTCTCAATACTTCTCGATAGTTGAAACTATCTATTTAAATATTTTTTGGTATTTATACACTTTTATTAGTTATTTGTATCATAATTTGAATTAATTTAATGGTAATAATTTAATTATTATTTATTGAGAAGTATTTAGGAGCGCAACATATATTTGTACACACTGCAAGATGCTTGAAGTCCAGTGTGAAGTTTCCACAGTCTGTGTTGATTTGGGGAGCCATGTCATCTGCTGGTGTTGGTCCACTGTGCTTCATTAGGTCCAGGGTCAACGCAGCCGCGTACCAGGAGATTTTGGAGCACTTCATGCTTCCTTCAGCAGACGAGCTTTATGGGGATGCTGACTTAATTTTCCAGCAGGACTTGGCACCTGCCCACACTGCCAAAAGCACCAAAACCTGGTTCAATGACCGTGGGATTACTGTGCTTGATTGGCCAGCAAACTCGCCTGACCTGAACCCCATAGAGAATCTATGGGGCATTGCCAAGAGAAAGATGAGAGGCATGAGACCAAACAATGCAGAAGAGCTGACGGCCGCTATTGAAGCATCCTGGTCTTCCATAACACCTCAGCAGTGCCACAGGCTGATAGCTTCCTTGCCACTCCGCATTGAGGCAGTAATTGCTGCAAAAGGGGCCCAAACCAAGTACTGAGTACATATGCATGCTTATACTTTTCAGAGGTCCAATATTGTTCTATGTACAATCCTTGTTTTATTGATTGCATGTAATATTCTAATTTTCTGAGATTGTGTTTTTGGGGTTTTCATGAGCTGTAAGCCATAATCATCACAATTATGACAAATCACGGCTTGAACTATCTTGCTTTGCATGTAATGAGTCTATCTCAAATATTAGTTTCACCTTTTACATTACAGAAATAAATGAACTTTTGTACGATATTCTAATTTTTCGAGTTTCACCTGTAGACTTTGCTGTGAAATGCAAGATCCGCCTATTAGATCAGGACCACACCTCCCCCTGTAAACTGCTGCATAATAGTTGAAAAATGTTACATTATATACATACCTTACCCCTGTCCCAGGGGGATGCCATGTTCTTTCTAGTGAGATGATGTAAACAATGAGGAGTCCAAATCTAACAAAAAAAGGCACCCTTGCACTGGACTGGTGTCTTCTATTGAGATTTGATTTACTCAATGTTCCACTGAACAATGCCAGAAAGGCAGAGACATCACACCCTTTTTCATAAATACAATTTTCAACTACTATCATGAAATATTATATATATATATATATATGTTTACATGTGATCATCTGTGATTGGACACAGCTGATCACATGACCGAGCCAACATCTACGGCTCTTTCCATGGATCGGTGATCTGCTGTGTCCGAGGGAACCGCCTTGCGTCCTCCATTTTCCGGCGGGAGGCGGTTAAGGATAGTGATTGTATGAAGCCATTTGTTATCAAATAGTTATTTGGCTCCTTTTTAAATCATATTGATAACAGAAATTACCCAAAAGGCCCTGATCAAAAGTTTACATACCCTGGAATACTTGACCTTGGTACAGTAAAATGGCAATTAAATGTTATTTTTCCCACATCTGTGGCTTTTTTAATTGCAATTAGTGTATGTGTATAAATAGTCAAGTCGAGCTTGTTAGCTCTCACATGGATGCACTGAGTAGGCTAGATATTGAGCCATGGGGAGCAAAAAAGAACTGTCAAAAGACTTGGGTAATAAGGTAATGGACCTTTATAAATATAGAAAAGGATATAAAAAGATATCTGAAGGCTTGAATATACCAGTCAGTTGTGTTCAATCACTTAATAAGAAATGGAAAATTTGGCGGTCTCTTGATACCAAGCCAAGGTCAGGTAGAGCAAGAGAGATTGCAGCTACAACTGCCAGAAAATTGTTTTGGATACAAAGAAAAGCCCACAGGTAACCTCAGGAGAAATACAAGCTGCTCTGGAAAAAGACGATGTGGTTGTCTCAAAGAGCACAATAAGATGATACTTGAACAAAAATTTGCTGCATGGTCGAGTTGCCAGAAAGAAGCCTTTACTGCATCAATGCCACAAAAAAAGCCCAGTTACAATATGCCCAATGAGGCCCCTTGATATGCCTCATAGCTTCTGGCACACTGTAATCTGCAGTGACGAGACCAAAATAGAGCTTTATGGTCACAACCATAAGCACTATGTTTAGAGTGGAGGCAACAAGGCCTATAGCAACAAGAATACCATCCCCACTGGGAAGCATGTCGGTGGTTCACTGATGTTTCAAGGGGTGTGTGAGCTCTAAAGGCATGAGGAATTTTGTGAAAATTGATGGCAAGATGAATGTAGCATGTTATCAGAAAATACTGGCAGACAATTTGCATTCTTCTGCATGACAGCTGCACATGGGACGCTCTTGGCCTTTCCAGCATGACAATGACCCTAAGCACAAGGTCAAGTTGATCCTCCAGTGGTTAAAGGAGAAAAAGGTGAAGGTTCTGGAGTGGCCATCAGTCTCCTGACCTTAATATCATCAAGCCACTCTGGGGGGATCTAACATGTGGTTCATGCAAGACGACCAAAGACTTCGCATGACCTGGAGGCATTTTGCCAAGGCAAATTGGCAGCTATACCACCATAAATTTGTAGCCTCATAGACAAGTATTACAAAAGACTGCACACTGTCATTGATGCTAAAGGGGCAATACACAGTATTAAAAATTAAGGGTATGTAGACTTTTGAACAGGGGTCATTTCATTTGTTTACTTGTTGCCATGTTTTGTTTTAGGACTGTGGAATTCTGTTATGGCTTACAGCTGAATATGAATCCCATAAGAAAGAAAAGAAATGCGTTTTGCCTGCTCACTTATGGTTTCTTTTGTCTATTAATCTATCTATCTACTTCAATGTTCATTGAACTTCAACTACAATTTCTTTTTATCCCCTCCTGAAACACAAAGGTATCTAAAGCAAAGAACATAAAATTCATGTATTGCAGTGACAGCATTAGTTTTTTTTTGTTTTGTTTTCCCCCTTTATTTGTCCTAGGGTGTCAACACTCATGGCACTGTATATATGGAGGCGTAGCACTGACACCCTAGAACAGTAGGTATACCAGGACTTGCATTGAACGTGAGCAAATTACTGGAAACTGACTTGAAGCCTGCCCTTTGAAAAAGATATGATCACTGCCACCAGGACAGCAGCAGTGATATTCATTTCTTCTTCTGTTTAGGTGGCAATCTTTATTTGAAAGGACTAGAACACAAAAAACAACACCCTGGAATTCATAAAGATTGGCACAGACAGATTTTGCTAAATTTTCTCTCATACAGTTGTGTTCAAAATAATAGCAATGTGTTGAAAAAAGTGAATAAAGCTCAAAATCCTTCTAATAGCTTTTATTTCCATACACACAAATGCATTGGGAACACTACACATTCTATTCCAAATCATGAAGAAAAATATATCAAATTTGTGTTCCTCTAAAAAAATTGAAGAAAATTGAATATTAGACTGTTCAAAAAAATAGCAGTGTTTGTATTCTTCTTTACAAACTCAAACATTCACTATATAAACTGAAAAATGTTTGAAGATTTTGCTTTCCTTTGAATCACTTAATTAATATTTAGTTGTATAAGCACTGTTTCTGAGAACTGCTGTACATCTGTGTTGCATGGAGTCAACCAACTTCTGGCACCTGTGAACAGGTATTCCAGCCCAGGATGATTGGACTACATTCCACAGTTCTTCTCTATTTCTTGGTTTTGCCTCAGAAACTGCATTTTTGATGTCACCCCACAAGTTTTCTATTGGATTAAGATCCGGGGATTGGGCTAGCCATTCCATAACGTCAATCTTGTTGGTCTGGAACCAAGATGTTGCACGTTTACTGGTGTGTTTGGGGTCGTTGTCTTGTTGGAACACCCATTTCAAGGGCATTTCCTCTTCAGCATAAGGCAGCATGACCTCTTCAAGTATTCTGATGTATTCAAACTGATCCAT